CCTGCTGATAATCAAGCTTTGTACTTTGAGCTACCATCTGTTTATTCTATTATCAATGTTAGTTTTCCAAAAATATCACCCAATTCTCAAGTCTAACAAATTTTTGTTAAAACAGCAGCATTGAGGGCTGCCTCTATGTGACTCAGACTCAAAGATACCAAATATCTCTAACGGATTATTATTTTTACAATACAAGTACTCTCTGACCTTGGCAACTTTCCCCTCAGTATCTGGAATGGTTTGAACTATTCCAGAAGCCAGATCAAAGGAAAGTTGTTTCTAAATATGCTCTGTACATCCCATAGTTAGAAAAAGAACACTCAAACGCCTCCTCCTTTTGCCACCTTCCAGTCCACACTCTTGATACTGAAGAATGCCTTACCTGATTCTTCAGAAAATGAAATAAAACACAACTGGTGAAAAATTTCACTTTAGCTTTTCCCCGCTTAGTCAAAATCTACTTCAGATTCTATAGACAACCTTCCAAAAGTGTCCTTAGGAAACCGGCACCAATTAATACTACCGTAGTGCATATCCCAGCATCACGAGAGCCGTGCTGAAGTCTCACACCACAACCATGTTTATGCACTCACAGCAATGAATACTGAGTGCATCTGACCATACATAGCACTAAAAACCATCGGCCCTCCTACCTCTATTAATCTTGTACTCAAGAACTAAAATACTTTGGTCTCCACCAATGTATCCTTCAGAAGCAAACAACACATGTACAAACTCAGACAGGAGACAGAGGTATCATATCAGATTCAAGTGACAGGGTTTCCCAAAATCTTCGGATTATCACATAAGAAAGGAGTGAGGACCAACTCTTATTTTAATTTAAAACACCAACTTAATATGCTTTCAAATGTCACATTTTACAAACTATAGGACTGTAATTCATTAATTGCTCTTTTCAATTCATGTGGACCTAAGAGAGAAGCTAAAGGGACCCACAGACCATTACAGGGTACTCGCAGAATAACTGAGGCTGGAAAGGATCTCTGGAGATCATATAGTCCAACTGCCTGCTCAAAGCAGGGTCAACTATAGCAAGTTATGCAAGACACAATCCAGTCAGGTTTTGAACATCTCCAAACATGGAGATTCCACAAGCCCTCTCGGCAACGTACTCCAGTGCTTCAGCAACCTCACCATAAAATTCTTACATTTCAATTTAATTTTTTGTATTTCAGTCTGTGCCCATTGCCTCTTGTCTGTTCCCTGGATACAGGGAAGAGTCTGGCTCTGTGTTCTCTTCACCCTCCCTTCAGGTATTTATAAACAAATCTTCTCTTTTCCAGGGTAAACAGTCCTAGCTCTCAGCCTCTCCTAGTGTGACAGATGCTCCAGTCCTTTAATCATATTCATGGCTCCCCCATGTATGTATGCCATGTCCTTCTTGTACTGCGGTGTCCAGAACTAGACACAACACTACAGATGTGGTCTCACTTGGGCTGCGTAGAGGGAAATAATAATTTCCCTCGACCTGCTGGCTATGTTCTTTCTAATGCACCTCAGTATGCTGCTGGCCTGCTTTGCCCACAGGGCGTATTGCTAGCTCACTTTCCACTTGGTGCCTACCAGGACCCCTATGACCTTTTCAGTGAACCTGCTTTCCAGCCAGTCAACTCCCCAGCCTATACCGGTGAACGGAGTTGTTCCTCCCCAGGGGTAGGACTCTGCATCACTCATTATCGAGCTCCATAAGGTTCCCGTCTGCCCATTTCTGCAGCCTGTCGAGATCCATCTGAACGGCAGCACAATCATCTCATCTATCTCCCCTTCCCACATTTCCCTTTCCTTCCTAATAAGAAAACAAATGTTCCGTATTTCTACCTTGGCTTCCATGCCTCCCATTCCCACTCGGGATTTGGTTCCAAATGTTACAGACTGCTGGTCTCCTGGGTAGAATATGTCAATGAGCTTTGCATCATCAGATCCTGGAGGGCTGTCAAAGAGTCCTGAAATAAATAATAAAAATCTGTTAGTGTTATATATTCACATCTCCAAAGCTCACCCAAGAAGAAAAAAAAAAAACCATGAGGTTGAAAAAGCTGTATTCCACTTTACAGGATTGAAAACTTTCACTGAACCCTGCTTTTTGTGGGACTGAAAGCATGAAACACCTAACAGGCAGACTCAAGAAATATAGCTTTACTGAAAGCATAATGAATAAGAAACCGAAAACCCACATGCTGAATAGCAGCATGCAAGCTGGAAGAGAGTGACGTTTTGTTGAGGTTACAGTTTACAGCTTTTCTATATTCAGAATCAAGGCTTGCATATAAAAGCTCACAACTTAACAGGCAAAGGATAGTCATCCTCACCAAAATCTCAGATGATCTTGAATGCTGGGTTGTACAGCAATAAACTGAGCAATTCAGCAATATGTAAAAAAGGTAACTATGGAATTCTGCTAACAAGGAACACAACATTACAGAGACATACTCTTATTAATTTTTCTTTAAATCTAGTAGTTTTATGTAACTGTGATTGGAGTTGAATGATGCTCTGGTTTAGCTAACACATTAAACCTAAATTCTACCACCACACTTCCCAGAAATTCTGTGTGAACAAATACTGGCATTACAAATTAGAGAGCACAAGTGCAGACTACCCGTGTCCTTCCTTGATAGCTTCGGAAGGAGAGGACACACATCTTTCCAAAAAGAAGTTGTCACATAGAATGAATAAGCTTGGAGGATGGGGGTGTTGGGTCTTAATTTTTTTTACAAGTTGTTTTGACTATTGCTTGTATGAGTTGTACTCAGACGGTCATTTCAATGAGAATCAACCATGAAATCCAGCTGAATCTGCTAAAAGAAACTGTGTTCATGGAAAAGCACTTCCTCCCTCCTCAAGGCCTACAACATGCGCCAAAGTTCAGGATCCACTGAAAGAAATCCATCTGGAAAAGATAAGACTATGTGACTCGGGTGCTGTGGACTGCACTGATCTGAAACTGTACCCACTACCCTCCACTCTCTAGAAAATGAACTTCAACATCCATAGGCGACAGACTATGTCACAGCAGCGCAGCTCAGAAGACTTAGAGCAGTGTAAGCCAAATGTCTAGGAGACAGAAAAAGCTAGCAAGTTCCAGGTACCTGGAAGGCAATGACCAGGACTTGCAATGTACTTGTAATTCACTGAAAGACAACCTGCTTCCAAAAGAAACAAACAATTGTAGAATAGTATTGGACTTATACTCCTGATTCTAAACACATACTCTTTATCCTGCGCATGACTCATGACTATATCATGCAGTTCTGAGAAGCCAGCAGAAGTACCACAGTACATACAGTATTCTGGGTTCTGGAACAAGTCTCAAGTTCATATGCATTCTCACCCACCCAGATTCAACAGTCTGGCAGACAGCCTTTGGTTTATGCAACAGCATCAGCATTGGGTATATGCCTTAAGGAGTTACGTGATAGGTTGTAATTGTCCCTGTAAAAGACATGAACTGAAGAGATGAGTAAAACCCCAATGTAGGTTGGTTTGACGATCTGATGTACTTCAATAAAACAAGAAAGTAAAGAAATGACTCACAAACCTTCTACGTCTGAGAGAACAATCAGGAGATCGGTTTTCATTTCCACAGCCAGTCGTGCTGCCAGACTGTCATTATCCTTCACACTAATAACCTGCAATGCACATGCATATCAGCAGTACTGAACAGTGGGAAGAACTAGGAAATATTTGGCTGCAACAAACAAAAGCAAGCTACCTCAGCACTACCAAGTCCTTTTGAGCTACTTTGTGCACACCCACTGGAAACTTAGAAGGTGATCTTTGTGTGAAAGTACTGCATTCTAAAAGTACATGTAAAGCGGTATCAAAATGACAGGCAGTGTGATCAATACCTGCATTTTCCACCTTGGTGCCCAGTGACAGGACAAGAGGTACTAACTGACTCCGCTTTAAGTGGGGGTGCTGGACTAGATGACCTGCAGATGTCCCTTCCAACTTCAACTATTCAGTGAAAACCAAACCGGGCATGCTTGCTTTTGCCAGAGCAGGCATCATTTGCTCTGCTTCCACCCCACAGCACCGTATCATGCCACAGACAAATCAGCATAGTCTTCCAGCAGCCTCTGTCCACATTATTAATTTTGCATGTTTGTTCCCTTGCTGCAGGCTTCAGAGGGCCCCGATCACGGCATTAGTGAAGTACACATTAGCGCTATAAAATCTACAAGCAGGATCCACCCCCTTGCAATACTTTACCCACATTTACCCCCTGCAGATCACTGTTCGGCTCTGGAGGTGGAACAACAGCATCGTTAGTGTTAATGATAGGGACAATATTCATTCTTAAAAGCTCATGCAATGTTCCATTTAAGTTCCGACGCTTCTGTTCATCATGGAAATCCAGGTTGGTGACTAAAATCTAAAAGGAGGAAAAAAAATTAATATATACTTAGCCTACCGCTTTTCCTGAGAAGACTGGTCAGACAGATCGGTCACACCCTTTGTGTCACTGAAGAAACATAAGCCACATTTAAAGGAGAAAGAATACAAGTGAGATATTCTTTCCACGACATTTTCAGATTTATATGCCTTAACTTCTACTGCAGCCTATAATGGTCCTTCTCAAGCTGACAGATCACAGGCTCCAGGAATCAGCTCAGAAAAAAAACCATAAGCAGAACATAGATGCTGATGATAACCACTAAGACCCTAAACAATTTGATGGATTACTCAAGACATCACCTTTCTATTTTTGCCCTCCCAGTGTAATGTTTCTACTGTCACAAGTAGAAAGGATGCTTCGTCTCAAGACTTCAGCTCTAGAACTCGTTTTCTTTTTTGAAAGAATCTTGGTCTTCAAGTCTCCTGCGTGCAGACACCACTCCTTTCTTTTTACTATTTTAAGACAAAAATATCCTTAATGTCTGCTCTGAAGAGACCTTTTTTTCATTATTACTCTGCCATGAGACACGTGAGAACTAAGCAAACAACTCTACCACAGAAACGTTACAATAGCACTTGGAACCACTGTGTACACATTTACTTTTTTGGCATGGGCAACTAATTCTTCTAAATTGAAGGAATGATAGCTGTCTACAGACTCAAACAAGATTATAATCCAGTGCAACCTATGGCGATTGTTAGCTATACTGTAAACATTTTAGTGACATCAACTATACTGTACTACAGGAAGAAGTTCCTCCAAGCGAGACTTCACACTAGGCTCCTAAACTCATTAAGAGTGTCTAAACAAGTAAGGCCTTACAGTTGATGCAATTCTGCATTCTCAGAGTATTTAAGATAAGCAAAGCCTGTTTAAGAGTCATTCAATTAATACAGTTGCAGCACTCAGTATAGGTAGAAGACCCAGGCTAGGGATACCATCACCCACATGTTGGAAGGGTTTGTGGAGCAGATGGACAACAAGTTCTGAAGTGTGGATATGCACTTGTCAGCTTTACAGAATGTGTGGCAGTTCAGCCACTTGTGGTTTTTAAACCCTCACTTTGGATCACTAACTTCAGCTTTTATGAAGAGACCTTAAGAGACACCCGCCCCATACATAAGAGCAGGACGCACACGAACTCCAAAGAGAAAAAGCATATTTGCTTCACCTTGACGACAGACTTCAGGCTGCATTTCAGAAATATTTGGCAAGGCACTCCTGTATAAGCTACCATTTACACTACAATAATAAGCCCCCAAAATAATGGAAATGCAAGACTACAGTAAACATAGCAGCATATAAAATGTGGAAAAAATCCAAGAACAATTCAATCACTGACTGAAGTAACAAGTCAGTCTAGGAAAGAAGGAATCCCTTACCTGAGCTGCACAGATGCTGTACTGTGTAAACATGGCCTCATACAGAGCCATTAGTCCACTCTGGCCAGCTGCTGCACAGGCTCGGGCCTCCAAGACTGGAATAGCCTGCAAAGATAAAGAGCAGCCGTCAGGCAGTGACTTCAGCAGGTACTACCCAACATTCAAGGAAAAGTGAGGTGCCGCCAGCCACTCACCATATCTTTTAGCTGACTCTGGCCTGAATGAAGCGCTTGCCTCACACTCTGAGAAAGCAAGATCTCATGACGCAAACGCTGCTTTCCAAAAGCTACAGCACCACTGGTGACAATCATCATCTCTCGGCCTTGATTTTGCAGCATTGACACCTGTAAGTACAGAACATAAGAAATAGGGCCTGGAGTATGATCAATGCCTAGCATGACAGTTCTGGCTAGTAGAGATAACCTTATGCTCACCAGTTCTGGCTGACGCGAGTGTTTTGCTTTATCCATGGATTTGCAAAGCAAGACAACCACCTTCTAAGATACTCCTGCAACACCTTCCTAACCACTTAGGAGCGATGCAGAGGACTGCACGCAATCTATAGCTTCTGCTAAACTTTCTTTTCACAATACCAGTTTCTGTGACAGAGTCATGCTCGATTTTTCACAATACACATGACACGGTAACACTTCTATACCCCTTGCCCCTCCATCTCCATTGCTACAGATAAGGAAAGACACAAAAAAGCTATAAAGTAGCAGCTATACCTCCCACCAACCATTCACCATCCATTCCCAAAGCTGTCATTTTCAGTAACTTTGTATTCTAGAAGTGAAGAAGCTAACTCTGATAGTACAGCTTTTAATTACTTCTTCCTTACACACATCTGGCCAGATTCCTTTCCAAGCTCTAAAGCTAAATGTCTTACATGAATTTATTTTATTATGTTAATTTTACATCTCAGGAGAAGACATGTCCAATCCCTCCCAAAGACATTATTTCATTTTGGAGAACCAATCCATGAGTTGATCCCATCAGTTTTTCCTGTAAGTAATGAGGTTTCAAGCTTTTTCCTGGAGGAGATCTGCAAATGCTCAGGTAATCGAGAAGGGTCTACTCCTTCTGCTGACTTCACAAACTGCAATGTCACCTTCCCACTAGATCCAATTAATGACCCAGTTGCGCCTTACCTATTGCATAAAAATCTCACTGTGCAAATCTCTCCCTCTATACTGGGTTTGGCCGAGATGGAGTTAACTTTTTTCATAGGGGCCCATATGGTGCTGTGTTTTCGATTTCACGACTATTAAAGTGTTGATAACATTCCGATATTTTGCCTGTTGCTACATAGTGCTTGCACAGCATCAAAGCCTTCTCTTTTCCCCATGTTGAGCTGCACTTGCACAGCATCAAGGCTTCTTTTTCCCACTATGCCTCATCACAGCAGGTCAGCTAGGGGCTGGGCAAGAAGTTTGAAGAGGACATATTTGGGACAGCTGACACAAACCGGCCAAAGGGACATTCCATACCATATAACGTCATGCTTAGTAATAACACTGGGATAACAGAATAGGAAAGGGCAGAGAGCTGTCTTCCAAGGTGGCCCTTAGTCAGGGACCAGCTGGGTACTGGTCTGCTTCTGTGAGGCAGCGAGTGATTGCCTTAGCATGACTTCTTTCTTTTCCCCTTTCCTCTGCTTATTAAACTGTCTTTATTTCAACTCATGAGTTTTCTTACTTTTGCTCTTCCTATTTTTTGCCCCAGTCCAACTGGTGGTGGGGCAGAGGTGTGGGGAGTGAAAAAGCATCTCTATGGGTGCTTAGCTGCTGGTCGGGGTCAACCCACCACACCTTCAAACACCGATTTACTGAGTTACATGGTTTATGCTACCATAGCACAGGGAGATGAAAAAGGGAAAGGCTGACACATTGCTTTAAAGGGCCATCACTGTTTTATGAGTTTTCCTACAATTTTCTGTGCCATCCAACAACCACCAAGTATCTGAAGTAAACACAAACATTCCACTTCAGTCACAGAATTACCTGCTCTACAATAGATGCCAGCCTCCCAAGGGCCAAGCCACACTCATCCCCTCGAGTCACAACAGCACTACCCAGCTTCACTACAATCCGCTTTGCATGCTTCAGCTCACTGCGGTGTGCAAATGATTTTCCATGTGCACGGCTGAGTGGCATGGTGATAAACGGGATGTTGCTCCAACAACGGATGGATTCATTCCTTAATCTTTGGTTACGGCAAGGGAGATCTGTGGTGAAAGAAAGAAGGAAAAGAAATAAATGCAGTTTTAAGTGTTTCATTCAGACATTAAGCCCTTGAACTCATGCATATTTCCTCCCTTTCCAAAGCTAAAGCTCACAATACACACTTTTCTGTGACTAGGCGTGAGAAGCTAGCTTTCAAGTCAGCAAAATAAAATTGAGAACCAATAATATTTGAGCTGCACTAACCATCCCTGAGGTATATAAAGCAATATCCCACGTGTCACAGAGCTTTGACTCTGGGAATCTAGAAGACTAAACTGAAGGACGCTCAGAGCCCGTATAGCTCGCATCAGAAGTAAAAGTACTAGTTTTAAAAACAATCTCCTTTGCCTTGCCTCATTAGATACAGCTAGAGAGCTTTCCTGTCTGTAGTAGCACAGAAAGCTTGACTTTTTAGGAAAGAAAAGAAACACAGCTTTTACAACATCTCTAAATAAGGTATTTTTGCACATTGCTCAAACAGGGGCAGCAGGAGAGGGATGACAGACATACATACTGGAAGTCACGTTCCTACAGGATAAACAGGTGTTGGAGGGAGAAGAGCCAGTCACAGCATTACTCGGGTAAGATACAACCATACCTAAGGCTGGCACTTTGCCCAAGTCAATGAGCTAGGGAACATTTCCTCAGCAAAATCTTTGTTTTCAAAATGCCCACAAAGGACAGTAAGGGCACTATCAGGACAGCAGATTAAAGAGAATAGCGACTATTAAGGTACAATCACAAAGAGCAGTCTGGACCCTTTCTAACTGACAAAGAAGTGGACCCAAACACATAAAGTCCCACAGTTAAGCTGAAGGAATGAAGGCAGATGGAAAGCACTTCCAACATACTTCATATGAAGTTTTGCAGAGCCACAGTGAATTGTGTCTGAAGGAGCCATGCAGATAAGAATACCTGCAGTCCAAGTGTGTCAACTGGATAATATAATATGGATAAGCCATATTACTTGAAAAAAAATTGAAACCACATTTCCTTATCCTCCAGCTAGTTCCCCATTACTATTCAGAAACTGCGTTACACCAGGCCAACTTTTAGACAGTCTCAAAAACACCAGTATAGCAAAAAAAGAGGGAGAATGCTTCTGACACAATTACAGAAAAATGGCTATTGACACGACACTCTGGGACCAAAAGTGCAACTTAGTCAAAAGATAGCACACATTCATGGAAAAAAAATATGGAAATCATCATACTGGATGCTACTGAAAGGCATTTAAAGAGAACAATACAATCATCAGGCACAGTCAACATGGGCTCACAAATGGAAAGTCCTGTTCAACTAATTTGATATCCTTCTACAGTAAGGTCACTTGCTCAGTGGAGGAAAGGAAGGTGGTAGATGTAGTTTTTCTGGATTTTAGTGAGGCTTTTGATACTATTACTCACAGTATCCTTCTGGACAAGTTGTCCAACTGTGAGATGAGCAGATTAACTGTGTGTTGGGTGAAGAACTGGCTGAATGACAGACCTCAAAGGGTTGTAGTGAATGAGACTACATCTGGCTAGCAACTGGTCACCAGTGGTGTTCCTCAGGACTCAATTCTAGGGCCAGTGCTGTTCAGTATTCTTATCAATGATCTGGATGCAGGAGTTGACTGCACCTTTAGCAAGTCTGCTGATGATACTAAACTGGCAGATGCTGTTGACTCTCTCAAGGGACAAGAGGCCTTGCAGAGGGATCTAGATAGATTGGAGCATTGGGCAATCATCAATAGCATGAAATTTAACAAGAACAAATGCCGGATTCTGCACTGGGGACACCAGGCACAAGTATAAATTGGGAGAGGAGTGGCTGGAGAACAGCCCTGCAGAACAGGATCTGGGGTGCTGGTTGGCAGCTGGCTCAACAGGACCCAGCAGTGTGCCCTGACAGCCAAGAGGACAAACCACATCCTGGGGGGCATCAAACACAGCATGGCCAGTCGGTCCAGAGAGTGACTGTCCCACTGTGTTTAGTGTTGGTGCAGCCTCACCTTGAGTACTGTGTGCAGCTCTGGGCCCCACAACTTAAGAATGTGAAGGTACTTGAATGTGTCCAGGGGAGAGCAACAAAGCTGGTGACAGGGCTGGAAGGCAAGTCCTCTGAGGAGTGGCTGAGGACTCTGGGTTTGTCTAGTTTGGAGAACAGGGGGCTGAGGGACCACCTCATCGCTCTCTGCAGCTTCCTGAGGAGGGGACGTGCTGATCTCTTCTCCCTGGGATCCAGGGACAGGATGCCTAGGAATGGTCCAAAACTGCATCAGGGGAGGTTCAGACTGGACATAAGGAAACACTTCTTTACCGAGAGGGTGTTCAAACACTGGATCAGGCTTCCAGAGAGGTGCTAAATGTCCCATGCCTGTCAGCATTTAAGAGGTACTTGGACATGAAGTAGTCAGGCAGTTGGACTAGATGATCATTGTAGGTCCCTTCCAACTGAACTATTCTATTCTAGTCAATCCTAATCAATATCTCATCTGAAGACGTAGAGGTTTCTTTACAAATCAGTAAACTGAATCCTATGCCACGGTCAGAGTTACCTGATTTTATTTATCTGTTCAGTCTCTCTAATTTTGATGCTCCGTAATACAAAATAGATTCACTTACAACCTAAAGTGACTATTCTGGGTGTTACTTCTGCTGGAGAAAGATAGGAATGAACACAGTGCTACAGAAAAGAGAAACTTGTTTTAAATAAATAAATCTTTTGTTCATTATACACGCAGAAGAAGCTTAAATGATTAATCATAACTGAGGGCTGCACTAACGTGTCATGCGTAAAAAAGTAAAAAATGGAATTTGGAAGTCAGTTTCATTTGCCCGTCATTTTCATGATGGAATACTAGTGAATGTAAATAAGGCTTACCATACACACAAAAGAATAGGTGAAGAAGTCCAATTCAACTGTTCTATCCAGTATTATACATTACTATATAGTATTTGCCTATCCCACACAGTATGACCAGAAAGGAGTAAAAACAATTTATTTCCAATTTTCTTGGCTAGAACTTCAGGGTTTAGAAGGTTCTAAGGCGGCAGCTGTTGAGGGATAACCAGTATCTGAAAACAAACCATTTATTTTATTTTTTTTTCAGAAAAACAAGGGAAAAGACAACAGCTCTAGAAAAAGCAGAGAATTTCACTTCACTGAAGTCCTAATTGCTAATCTCGCTCTATAATTTTCACAGTGTTAACTATAAGTAGGTTACTCAATTTGGAAAAACACAGAATACTGCAAATGCAAAAGTCAACAGAGCTATAGCTCTGAAAAAGCAAGTTTAGCATTTTCAAGATTTCAACATTTATTGATTCATATAAATATCAACAAAACATAAATGGGAAATTAATCTTGCATGCAATGGTAAACAGTTTATCTCTTGATCTAATAGAGTCTACCTATCCTTGCCTTCTCTATTTCAGACCACTAATCAAATAGACAGTGAATGGTTCTCCCAGGTTTTCAAGGAAAAACTATTTACAGGGCACCTATGCGTTTACACTCAGGTCTCCTGCAAGCATCTTTCCACTTTTATCTAATCTGAATAGATTTGAGCTTCACGCTTTGCTTTACTCACGACATCTGTGGGCTGAAAATACAGATGGAGGAACGGGCATAATCAGATCTTGTTTTCCAGGAATGTACCAGGTTGAAATAAAGAACTTTTACAGTAGCAGTACTTTCACAATTGAGGTTTTTTTGTTTGTTTGGGGGGGTTTTGTTTGGTTTTGTGGCTTATTGTTGGGTTTTTTTGCTTGAAATGCACATCGAAATGAAAAATACACCCTCTCAGACATCCAGCTGAATATTACTGAGTTAAGGGAGAAAGTAACATTAAGAACGTAGACCTTCAGCTCACTCCAGAGACTGAGAGTTTTGAATGATGGTAATGAGGTGATTTTCATTTCAACGTAGGAAAGAGCATAGGCATGCCCAGACACATACTGACCAACATTATAAGAAACATGTGCTTTCTCTCATACGTACATAAACGTGAAATGGCTGCGATGGCATGTGGCGATAACACAAAGCACCATCCAGGGGAACGGACAAGAGGGCTCAGAGCAGCTCGACACAACATTTTGAGATGCCTTCTGGAAATCAAGGATACCTGTAAGTTAAAAGGAAGGGAGGAGGGAGGAAAACTGGTTAAATATCAGTGAATTTCCATCCGTATTTCCCTCCTCACCTGCCCCTCCACCCCAACTCTTCTTTGTCCTGTAGAGTCTTAATGCAATTTCCCTGTGCAAGAGACAGACAGCCCACTCTCTCTGTTTTGCAGAATTCTCAGACTATGACTTAGAAGAACTGAAGGCCCCTGTTCCCCATCTGCTGGCAGAAGATCGTTATTACAGCTGACTACAAGACAGTCAGCCTCACCTCCATCCCTGGAAAG